CTAGGATCAGCACATGCTCCCTCATCAGTTCTTGTCTTAATATTTTCCGAATGGCTTCTCCTGGCTCATCTCCAAGGCTCCTCACACTCTCAAATCTCTTATATGGGGACCTTCTTTAATTTTAACATCAGCCATGTGAGGTCTTTCAAACTGAGGTTCAGCTGGGTCAAAGTCGCAAAGTGAATGTCCCTGGCTAAGGGTAGATTTGAACCCTAGTCCTTGTTCAGCACCTTAATCCCCATAGTATAGTGAGTCTCAGTTACTGGGAACAAAATCCTATCATCCTTAATGTAGTTTGGTTCCTAATTAGTAAGCATAGGATTGTGGGGAGGCAGACAATAAAACATACAGTATTTGGATGCTGAACATCTTGCTAATATAATTAGTAGATGGATTAATTATTCATTATTTTCATACTTTCCAATTATAGAAGTTCTCACCTTCCTAATTTGGGCAATGATCTATGTTTAAAACTGATTGAAGTGACAATCTGGCATAGTTATTAAACTTTCAGGTATGGTTCAGCTTGGCATAAAGCCAAGTAATTTGGGAATGTAAGCCCAATAAATGCTTGATTGTTTTATGCAATGAATGTGTACTTCTCTGCCTTAGAAGGCCTATGTTTTTGTAAACCCATGAAGTAATCACCCGAAAGACCTTCTAGATTAATTTGCAGTAAAAAAGGGAGTTCTATGCATATTTGCTCAGTGCGGTAGCTTCCTTGAATAAGGCTCGTTTTGTATCGAGAAGTGTATTCCAAAAATTTCAGATCAGATTAGAATATCACCGTTATCACTTTAGGACTGGTGAGGTGGCCTAGAGATGGTGCTCTCGCCTCACAATTAGGAAGCTGTGAATTTGATCCTAGGTAGAGGCAGATATTTTTCTGGGCACACCGAGAATATATCTGCTGAACAAAACTCCACATTGGCAACAGGAAGGGCATCCGGTCATTAAAAAAAACCCCACTCTGCTAGCGGCATTCAGTTGCCCAAACTCCACCCCGCAAGGGATTATGGGGTCGTTAAATGAAGATGATGATGATTAGAATATCATTCTTAGCTATTGTTTGCTTGTGGTTAATTTATAAAATAAAGCCCAGGTGGCTAATGCTAACTCAGAAATCATGGTTGCAGCGACTTCTTTCATAGTAAGAAACCACATTATGTTGCGGCTTAGCCCAGTGGGTGCTCCTAACCTGTATAACTATGAGGTGCTATTCCGGAACCAGTTACAGATAGTCCTTAGTTTACAACCACAATTGAACCCAAAATTTCTCTTGCTAAGTGAAACATTTGTTAAGTGAGTTTGCTCCATTTTACGACCTTTCTTGCCACAGTTGTTAAGTGAATCACTGTAGCTGTTAAATTAGTCAAACTGTTGTTAAGTGAATCCAGCTTCCCCATTGTCAAAGGGGATCACGTGACCCCAGGACCCTGTAACCGTCATAAATATGAGCCAGTTGCCAAGTGTCTGAATTTTGATCACATGACCATGGGGAATGCTGCAACGGTTGTGTGAAAAGTGGTCATGAGCCACTTTTTTTTTCAATGCTGTTGTAAATTTGGTCACTCAGTGAACTGTTGTAAGTCAAGGACTACCTGTATTTTGTTTCTGCCTTGCAATCTGTTGTCCCTGTAACTGATGTTCTCCCTTTTTCCTTTTAGCCAGGAGGAGTTACCAGTCCACGATGCAGCATCTGAGAAGGTAAGCAGCCCCGTGCTGATACACGGTAGATAGCAGTGCATGTTTTAGAAGCATCTAGACCTGTTCTGCATGTGAAAGCACTCAGTATAAATGTACTCAGTATCTGCGTGGCTAAGAATTGAACAACAACAACAACAACAACAACAACAACAAAGCTAATTTGCTGATCATTCTAATGGAAAACCTGCCTAGCCCAACCCTCCTCTTTTATCCAAGTTTTGGAGAAGTTTGGTATAGAAACTGGGATATGGGATTCTAATTTATGCCAAGTCAGGGTCATTGAGTCCATCGTTACCAGCCTTCTTCACACTTTGCAAATGTATTGAGCCATCGCCTTCAAAATTATGACCTAGCATGTCTGAGATGTAAAGGAGGCAATAATTTGAGAGCTCTGATTTATCGGAGTAGTCAGCCAAAATGCAAAAACGCTGGGTACTGAAGTGGCTTGGCTGAATCTGCCTGTAAGATCGGGTAAGATCATTTTTTTAAAAAAATATTCCGGCATTTTGGGGAGCAACTGAAGCTGGTATGGCACTGTAGCAAGAGTTGGTACATTCCCACGTCTTTCTGACTAACTAGTTTTGCTCTGACTGATAAAGTTGCTTGGATGAACAATGAAATGTCTCACATTAACGAAATTTGGTCCAGTTGCCATGGTTCAGTTGTAGACACCTTTGGCCTGGATCATTTGAGTTTCCATTGACATATTCTGGCATTCTGTTCGGTTCTAACTGTTTAGTGTGAGTTTGCCTGGAAGGTGATGGGAAATGTAGTCCAGCACTTTGGAGCACCATGTAGAAAGTAAATTTTTTAAGGAAATAAATGTCTGCAGGAAGTAAATTTTTGGCCAATAGCAACCACATGGATGGTTGCTACTTCTAACATATAAGAATGGGCCTACTGAATTGTTTATAAGTGGCATCCCTATGAACAACCAATTTTGGTTGCCCTGCACCACTTTAAAATCATCCATGCTTCTATATGGCATTGTGTGTTGCGGATATTAGTATTTCTGAATTAGTTCTAAGAGGATTTCTGTCTAGTGATTGCCTTTAATTCTTTTAATTGAAATTTCCCATTCATAATGCTGGTTAACCTCAATCCCAGTTCCAGTTGGTCTGCATTAAACAAAAGTTAATCTAGATGTAGGGCAATGTTTTTTTTCAAACTTGGCAAGTTTAAGAGGGGTAGGGGTGTATGTGTACTTCAACTCCCAGAATTCCCCAGCTAGCTTGGTGGAGTGAGGAATTCTGGGAACTGAAGTCTACGCGTCTTAAACTTGCCAAACTTGAGAAATACTGCCCAGCCAAGCTTTCCTTCTTTGTTAAATGCAATGATAAATATTGATCTCTGTAAAGAAAACTACTCTCAATTATTGCCCTCCTTAATTTAGTGTATCCTTTCCTGTCAGTTTATAGTCTTCCTTTCTGGAATAAACATTGTTTTTCCGACCAGTAGTTAATATTTGAGAAAGGAGGTAATTGAGAGGGGATGGAAGTCATTTGAAATGCTGTCTCTGTTTTAAAATGTTGAAATGCCAGATGTTATTGCGCTCAATTACTGGCTAATATGCTGTGACTGTAATTATGCAGTGAAGTGTTGCCAAGTTAGAGTCAGAGGGATGAATGAGGTTGTCAGCAAGTGGTATTTGCAAAATAATTCAGCAACCTGAACAATCAGAGCATCTCTTGTATATTTGACACTGAGGAAAAATCAGAGGTTATATAACCCAAGCTCTGTAAGTCAAGATTGAATGCTGTCTAATTCTAAATCATTGAAGCTTTCTCTCAGAGAGAAAAAAAAGTTTGCTTACTATTTGGAAAAATGTGTCTATAGAAACAGACTATTCCATATTCAGTTGCCTAATGAATGATTACAGAAGCCAGAACTAGTTTGGTCTAGTGGTTAAGTCACCTGGCTTGAAACCAGGAGACTGTGAGTTCTAGTCCCACCTTGGGTATGAAAGCCTGTTGGGTATCTTTGGACCAATCATCAGGAGATAATGAGTTATAGTCCCACCTTAGGTATGAAAGAGTATATCAATTGTATAGGTTGTGTGGTTTTGTTTTATTTTTATAATTTTCTTATGTATGATGTACACTGAAGATGACATTTAATTTTGTTGTACGAGGTACAAGTTAAGTTAAAAGTTAAGGTCTGCTGGACGATTTGAGGCCAATCACCAGAAAGTAATGAGTTCTAATCCTGAATTAGGCAATGAAGGCTAGCTGGGTATCTTTGGGCTAACCATGATCTCTCTCAGCCCAACTTACCTCACAAGGTGGTTGTTATGGGGAAAATAGGAGGAAGGAGTAATATGTATGTTTTCCGCCCTGAGTTATAAAAAAAAGGAAGTTGGAAAATAAATAAGTAAAATAAAAATACAGAATCATTTTGCCACTGTACAATATTTTTGTTTTTAAATGAAGAATTACTGTAAAAAAGTATGATTCTTTTCCTGGAAAGATGTAATGACATGTGCATGACTTAAGGTTTTGAGGAAGTTATTTTTGTAATTCCTTTAGTAAGTTACAGGTTCTTCTCAAAAATATTGCCACATTCTAGTTTATGAAGAAAGTCTGTAATTCCTGCTTATCACTTACAGTTTGACTAGGAACCCATTGTAGTTTAAGCACCTGCCTTACAAGTATCTATTCTTTTTCAGCTTATTTTATTTTTATTCATCACACCCTTTGCACCAGCATGCAAAGTGTAAGAATGTAAGAATGAATAAGCCACAGAAGTTAAGATATATGATTAGAAAAAAAAATACAGCAAAACTTAGTTTTGCTAATCTTAGCCACCCCTTCTGGCTTTGGTCAGGCGATACGTTCTTTTTTAGGAAGATGTAGTAGGAAGATGTAGTAGCAAAGACATTCCCTGATAATGGCTAGGGGGCAACTGATTAGTTTTGTATATTGTGACCATGTGGTCAACACAACCCACCAACACTACCCAAATCCAGTTGTACCCCAAGGACCACTTCATCACAACGAATGGGTTCAAATTCTTCTAATAACAGTCCGACACTTTGTACTTACTGATCAAGAGGATATGTAAATAGGGGTTCTCCTTAACAGATTAGGAAGTTGCTAGAAAACTGTAGAGCTTCTAGGATTCCTTCTACAACTTTGCAAATGATTGAGTTGTGTAAACCTTGTTATTACCAACCTGGATGAGCTAATGCATGCTTTCCACAGTCATTTCTCAACGGGAGGATAGATAATCGCGGGCACTGTAGTTTGAGTTTATTGAAGTGTTGTGAAGTGCTCTAGAATTACGATAATGATGTCTTTCTTGACACAGTCATTACTCAGTATATCTTAACCGACATACCTAGCTATACCGAAGTATTTAAACTAAATTACACATCTCGAAGGGGTGCGGCCGAAGAACTGCATAATTTTCATTTCTTTGCTTTTTATTGGCATGGCTAGAATCTAGAAATTATTGAGGGAGGTTTGTGCACAAAGCCTTAAATTATCAAACTGTTTACTTGAAAGGATATTTCTGAAATTGGCAGGCTTCAAGGGAGAAGTGTCTCCAAACACTATCATATTCGGTTGCATTGTTTGGTCCTAGCGTATAAAATGATGCTTTAGCAGAGCCACTTCTACAAAAGGTATCATGCAGGAATCTTAGGTCTTTGGCTGTCTTACGAGGGAAAGGTTGGTGAAAAAGAGCCCGTCTGGTTAGGCTCCACTGCTTAAAGCAGTGTTTTTCAACCTTGGCAACTTTCAGATATGCAGACTGGTTGGAGAATTCTGGGAGTTGAGGTCCCTCCACCTTAAAGTTGCCAAAGTTGTAAAATGCTGGCTTAAACATTAAGAATCCCTTACCTAGGCTGCAAGAATCCAGATACAGGTAGTCTTCAACTTAAAACCACAATTGAGCCCCAAATTTCTGTTGCTAAGCGAGGCAATTGTTAAATGAGTTTTAGCCCATTTTGCAACACCCCCCCCCCCCGTTCTTAAGTGAGTCACCGCATTTGCACAAGTGTTTAGAATGCAGTACTGCAGGCAAACTCTACCCACAGTCTGTAGTTCGATTCTGACAGGGCTCGCTCCAGGTTAACTCAGCCTTCCATCCTTCCCCTGGTTGGTCAAAAGAGGACCCCAGATTGTTGGTGGGCAATAGGCTGAGATTGTAAACCTCCCAGAGAATGCTGTAAAGCACTGTGGAGCAGTATATAAGTCTAAGAGTTTCTGTTATTGCTACTTAACAGCACAGTTATTAAGCGAATCTGGCTTCCCCATTGACTTCATTTGTCAGAAGGCTGCAAAAGGTGATCACATGACCCTGGGACCCTGCAACCATCCTAAATGCCAGTTGCCAAGCGCCTGAATTTTGATCACATGACCATGGGGATGCTGCAACGGTCATAAGGGTGGAAACTGGTCGTAAATCACTTTTCTCCAGTGCCATTGTAAGTTCGAATGGTCACTAAACAAACAGTTGTAAGTTGATGATTCCCCTGTATTTAATAGATGGCAGCACAAAAAGTTTTCAATAGCTCTTTCCCCGTCCATCAAGCCTCCTTGAGTTTACTGCCAGTGGCTGAACACCGATTCCTGGAAGTATACGGGTGATAATACAGGTAGCAGTGTGAAGTACTATCATTAGAAAAGCAATCGTGAAAAGATCTTGCTATGCTAAGTGGAGCCTTAATCTCTCACAAGCGGTCTCCAAAAAAAGGTGATGATGATCTAAAAATAGAGCTTGGTTAGGCTGGGGAATCACTTGCCACCTATTCCTTAATACCCAGGGACTTCCGTTGGAGAAACCCAGCATATTTCTTGGAATTGTAAGTATTATTGCCCAGGGTACAGAAAATAATCCAACTGTTAAAAATATGTTAAATTTTCGTTGAACTCTTTTTGTACAAAATTTGGTTTAAAAAGGCCTTTCATCTGGAGTGGATGGTAAACACAAAAATTCAGCTATAACTACTTCCTCATTTGCTGGAAATTGCAACTGCTGTGCTGTTTAAGACAAAAACCTAGGAGAGGGGTCTGTTCAGTTGAGTGGGCCTTCCATTTGATTTAAAATATTTGCTAGTGATTTAAGGCTGTTAAAAAAACTTCACAATGTCTGTTCCTAGATACTTAGCAAATGTTGAAAAAAGAATGCTTGAGAGTATTTGAAGTGGAGAGAATAATGGCCTCTGATTTTATTTCAGCAAAAGCAGCTTGAGATTGAAAGAACTACAAAATGGTTGAAGATGTTAAAAAACTGGGAGAAATACAAAAACACAGATAAGGTAAGTTTGAGCACTTCCTTCAGCAATTGTAGTTATTGAATGCAAAAGTACAAATCAGGTGGTGTAGCCTTGGACTTTTTACCCACCTACTGTGATATTTGCTGAAAGAACAAAGTGCAAAGAAGCTGGATTTCAGAATTTCTGAATTATAAATATTTCAGAAATGCTGGCTTATAATTGTGGAGTAGGAGTGGAAAAATCCACATCCTCGTGACCTCACGTTTGGATTGCTGCAGTCTCTTCTACATGGGGCTGCCCTTGAAGAGCATTCGGAAGCTTCAACTACAGGCCGTCCTTCACTTACTACCACAGTTGAGCCCAAAATTTCTGTTGCTATGCAAGATAGTTGTCAAGTGAATTTTGCCCCATTTTACGACCTTTCTTGCTACAGTTGTTAAGGAATCACTCTCAGTTGTTAAGTTAGTACCACTTAAGTTAGTGAATCTGGCTTCTCCATTGATGTGGCTTGTCAGAAGTCTGCAAAAGGTGATCATATGACTCCAGAACATTGTAACCATCATAAATATGAGTCAGTGGCCATGTGCCTGAATTTTGATCATGTAACTATGCATTGCTGTTGTCACTTTGAACGGTCACTAAACAGTTGTAAATCGAGGACTACCTGTTGGCGAACCTATGCCATGCGTTTCCCCCAGCACACAAGAAGTCACCTGGAAGAGACCCACTGTGCATGCGTGCACCGCCGCCCAACAGCTGATTGTCAGGCATCTGGCGCACATGTGCAGGGGCGGAAGGGGGTGCATGGGAGATGCGCGCCCATGCGTAGGGACGCGCTGCGCGTGAGGGGGAGAATTGCATGCACAGGTGCATGGCACACGAGGATCATGCGCAGGAGGCATGGGGGGGAGCACGCATTGCCTTCTGGGTGCTGGCACGCAAGCGCGCGCAAGCAATTATCAATACAGGAGCCAAAAAAGGTTAGCCACCATTGATAGAACAGAACACAGCTGCATGGACAGTAAATGCATATATAACACCACTGGTGTGTGAATTACATTGGTTGCCAGAGTGTTTCCAGGTGCAATTCAAGGTGCTGGTTGTCACTTTTGAAGCCCTTCATGGCTTGGGGCTGAGTTACCGGAGGGACCATCTCCTCCCAGTTGTTTCCGCCCATCTAGTTTTGTCTGGCAGGCTCGACATTTCACAAGCCTGTCATCCAATAACTGTCAGCTGGTGGGCAATAGATAGTGTGTCTTCTCAGCTGTAGCACCAGAATATTCCAGAATATTCTCCCTTCTTAGATTGCAATGGCCTTGACCCTGTTGATCTTTTAGAAGGTGATGAAGACCTGGTTATGTGCCCAGGCTTGGAGCCCTGAGTTATAATGTTCTTGGTATATATAATTTTGGTTTCTTGGTTATCCTCTCCTCTCCTGCCTCCTTGCCCCGTCCTCCCCCTCCTTCCCTTCCCCTTCTCCCCTCTCATCTCTACCCCTTCTCTCCCCTATTCTTATCCCTTTCCTCCTTTCATCGCCCTCCCCTTCCCTCCTCTCTCCTCTGTTCTCTCCTCTCCTCCCCTTCCTTCCCCTCCCCTCCCATCTCCTCTCCTCTCCCACTCCCTTCTCTTCCTCCCCCTTTCCTATCCCCACCCCTCCTTCCACCTCCCCTCTCTCTTCTCCTCCCCTCCTCCCCCTCTTCCCCCCCTCCCCCGAGTCATTTCAGATGGGTGGCTGTGGGAAATTGAATAAATAAACAAAGACTTTTAAAAAAACGACTTTTACAAAATCCATCTGCTTCCTTTCTTTCATAGTAGAAACTGCTCATCCCTGACGCTCATATAAAGGCTCAGGTGCTTCTTCGAAAAATGCCATCATTTGGCCAATATGTAATGGGAGAGGGCTATAATCTCATCCCCCTTGGTAGTTTATTTTGTGGGGAAGGAAGATGGGGCGTTTTGAATTAGCATCCTATACCCATCAGTGCTGAGTTGGCGGCATTGCTTTACTCCAAGCCTGCTTTAAACTTCTTTCCTTTATAGGAATCTTTCCATTTTATGGCCTATAAATACGTACTCCTGAATATTACAAAACACAGTGTTTGGTATGGTGAAGCTCTTATAAAATTACTAAGGTACGGAGAGTTGATTTTCTATCCCCTTGAAGCAATTCCTGACAAAATTTCAGTATATTTGACCATATAGTTGTAAGGAAAAAAAATGTGCTAACCCGATTCTGTGCTGTTCAATGTAATTTTCAGCTAGCCACAGGGAGCATTAAGACTGGTGCCAATATGATGCTCATTATTGCTTCCAAAAAAGAAGACCATAATCTGTGCACAGAAGATGGAGCACACAATTCTTCTCATATGTTTATTGCAACTAAACAAATCATCATATCTTCACTGGGACTTAAGTGCTGGCAAAGACAGTAAATTGGTTTCCCATCTTGATTCAGAACTGATCTCCCTTTATGGAAAGCCACTGGACCTCTTCATATAACCGTTGATCTGTATGTCTGATTTTAGGATTAGATTAGGAATGCTCCCAGAATGAAAACCTAATTCTTGCTTGTTTCCATGATGCCAGACTGTGGTTTGATGTGTGCTGAATCATGGCTTAATGGTAGATAAACAAGTACACTTGTTTGTTGTAATCCCCTTCCTTCTTTCTTCCCAAGGATTGCTACGGTGGCAGCTTTCTCTTTTGAACTATTAGAGTTTGAAAGGAAAGATGAAAGTGAATATTTTAAATGATGACTGCTTTAGCAAAATAGGTTCTCCTTGTTTTTGATAGCAGAATCTCAGGCTTTTGAAAGACTGTTAAATGTTAGGAGACTTTCTGTGAATTATGGATTGTTCAATCTCACCTCCTGAAAAGTACTTTTAAAAAATCCTTTATTCACCTAAAGCAGTCAGAGAATGTTAAATTGGAGAAATTTAAGAAGGGATTTAACTGTTCTCCTTAAGATTATCTTTATTAACACTGATAAATGTTATTTTTACATTTTATTAATTTTGTAGGCTTTTATTTTTAATTTGATGTTTCCATCAATGGATGCAGAAAGTCTGCTCTGGAATTCTTTGCCTAAGCAAGTCAGAACAAGCATAAAACTGACATTCTTTACTTAAGGTTGCATTAATGCAAGTCAAGGATTGCATAACATAGAGACTGCTGAAGAAGTATAGTTATTTTTTTTTTAAACTAAAATGTGTTGGAGAAATAATGAAGTTAATAATGTAAGATGAGGAAAAGAAGGCTTGATTTTCAGGAAATGCAGACGTTTGTGTATAAGTGACTTAAAAAATTTTAGCTAAGGAAAGTAGCAGAGTACAACATTAGCCAAAAGAGTGAGTTAAGGAAGCAGATAGATAGATTGACAGAGTCAGGTTGTCACAGAGAAGAGAAAATCAACCTGTTCACCAAAGCACCTGAGGGCAGGGCAAGAAATAATGGATGTGTCAGGGACATTGAGATAGAAAATAGTTTTATTAGTTTTATAATTAGTTTTATATAAATATATTTAGCATTTATATTTACAGAGACAGGATAGTCAGGAAAATCATGAGGTAAATCCAAAAATAGCACACAGAAGAAGAAAAAAGACGGGAAAAAGGGAAACGCCCCCTTTACCCCCACGGTAACCAATCATAGCGTAAGTTGGCTCACGCAGGAGCCAGCCAACCAATCAACTCCAACCGTGTCTTCTGGCCCATTGTACAATTTTACTGTTCCAGCTACTGAATTAAATATCACAACAGGATGGAAACGTAGGGATCCAACCTAGAACTAAGGAGAAGTTTCCTGACAGAATCAGAATAGAGCTGAAAGGAACTTTGGAGGTCTTCTACTCCAGCCCCCTGCTCAAGCAGGCCACCCTATACCATTCCAGACCAGTGGCTGTCTAGTCTCCTCTTCTTAAAAACCTCCAGTGATGAAGCTCCCATAACTTTTGGAGGCAAGCCGGCTTGTTCCGCTGATTAATTGTTCTCCCTGTCAGGAAATTCCTCCTTAATTCCAGGTTGTATCTCTCCTTGATAACAATCTAATCATTGGAACAACTTGCCTCCAGAAACTGTGGATGCTCCTTCACTGGAGGTTTTCAAGAAGCTGGGCAACCATTTGTCCAGAATGACACAGGGCAGATCTGGGCACCTTTTATGACCCCCTGGGCCACATCTGGTCCTTTGGCTGTCCCTGTCCAGTACCTGTGGATTGCTTTTATTTTGTTTTGTTTTTTTAATTTTTTATTAATTTTCAATAAACAAACATACACAAACAAAACACAAAACATGAAAACATAAAACTTCTTTTTGGAAAGCGGCTTAGTCCCCGGTTACATCTTTTTGTACAGACATAAATTCGAATTCATGCTCACTTTATATACCATTTCATATCTTATTTACCATTCTACATTTTCTATATAGCCTCTCCCCTCTTTTCACTCTCTTAATTCTGTTTTATTTATTTCATCTCAATTTAAATCATTATGCTTATATCTTTTTTCTGCTCCAATTATCTATTATCTTTTCTCATTAACACAAAATTTCTCCTGTAATCACTGATTGAAGTATGACGCCTTTATATCTTTCCCCTAAATTTAATACTTAAAATAATATATAATTTTCATTCGGATTCTGCTTAGTACATTCTAAAGCTATGTACTATATTTCAAAATAAGAAAAAATAGTAAGTTTATAATATAATTCAATAATCCATAGCAAATTAAACTCTATCGTTAAGTCTTAAACATTTTACACATTCCTTTTAATATTTTATAATCATAAAACAATCCACAACAATCCCAGTTTCTCATAAGGTCCCCTGCTTGAGCAGGGTTGGACTAGAAGACCCACAAGGTCCCTTTCAACCTGATTATTGTATGTTTTATGTTCTAAGTGTTTTGGATGTCTAGTAGGCACCTTTGTTAGAAAATCCCTCTCCTTTTTGCACCAGGCAGTGTTGTTTTTGTTCTGCGTAGGGCAGTGTTCACGCTCAGCAATTGATATTCCATGTTTAAAACCTACTTAAACCACGGATAACATACAGATCTCCTTCCCCGTCCTGCTTCAATTATATGGCATGAGGATGGGAGCAGGCTAAGGAATATCAATAAGGCAACAATGGCCACGCAATCAGAATTCTGCATCTTTTTTGTTTGTTTCTTGTTCACACACATTACAAAGGGGCAGGGGCTTCAATTGTGAAGGCATGGCTATTATATTGAATTCTGACATTCCCTTAATTGGAATTCTGAAGTTCTGATTCTTTTTTTTTTTTTAAAGAGGTTGTAATTCTAATTTTATAGGGGGCCGCAATTTTAATTTTTAAAGTCTTGGTTTGGGAATAGCTATAATTGTACTCTTGTTCTCTAGATCTGATAGTGATTTGTAGTATGACAAATCACAGTGTCAGCTGTAATTTGCGTATGAAAAATGGATATAGCAATAACTTGCCCCAAAGAATTGTAAATTAGTGTTTCTCAACCTTGGCATCTTTAAGATGTGTGAACTTCAACTCCCAGAATTCCCCAGCTACCATGGTGAGAAACACTGGTATGGATAAATTTGGAGAATATAAAGCACTTTGACATTTTCAAAACTGTTTCATGAGTTTTATTTGGATGGATTTTGTTATTATTGACACTGTAGAAAGACTGATGAATGCTTTATTATGTGGTCATGGTTTAAGGATTGGTTAAAATACAAGGCTGAAATATTTATTGTGTGATAAAAGAAATATATTAAAAAATAAAACAAAACAGATATCCCTGCCCCACAAATCTGCTCATTCAGTGTTCTTTAATAGTAGATTTTGATCTTGATCAATTTGCCAGGTGCCAGGTGAAGCCTACTAGCTTTTCTTAAATTTTATTTATTTCACATCAAGAATACATTTCACAACCATCAATAAACCTGTATTCCAATTTCAAAAGTAGTAATTAGGATAGGAAATTTGAACAGTGATGATGTCAATGATAAAGTGAACACATACTGTGTCTGAGCTGACTGGTGAACATGTCATTTGTATGTACATTGGCTGCATGTTATTAGGAACAGGTGATAAAAATGTAGTTTATTAACTCCTATAAATTTGATATTTGAAGGATCACAGTCGTTTTCATTCTCAAGTGCCTGGGCTTGAAAAAGAGCGTGGTTCTGAAGGATTTAATTTTGACTGCATACTTAAAAATAAGAGCCATATTGGGCTGGTTTACAAAATCCAATATTTTCCATATGCTACATGACATAATAATTATAGGTTTATAATTGTGAAATTCGTTAGGAATCTTTGGTTTGTAAATTACGATCTAAAATCAGGAGATTAAAGATCCATTTCATTTATTGACTTGTTTAAACTTTTTTTTTCTCCAAATCATAATTTATCCAATAAGGATATCTCATCTAGCATCTATCCTGATTTAAATAGTCCTAGCTGATCTATGCCTAGAGTGCATTTCATGGTAAAAATAGAGATAATACAGAAAGCAACTAATCTCTAAGGTGAAGATATTCCACATAGCAGAGGCCACTGCAGTAAAGACCTGTCTTCTGATCCCTACCAGCTAGCGGTCTTTGGTGGATGAGATCTGCAGCATAACCAATTTTCAGTAGTGCCCAATTTTGGATTGGCTGTAGCCTCCAACCCAATCCTAAGAGCCATCTCTGCTTTGAAAACATATCACTAATGCAGATGGTCCTCAATTTGGAACAGTTTGTTTAGTGACCATTGCAAGTTACAATGGCAGTGAAAAAAGTGACCCATGACCATTTTTCATACTTCTGTCCAATGCAGCATCCTATGGTCTATGGGGGAAGCCAGATTCAGTTTAACAATTGTGTTACTAACTAAACTGCAGTGATTCACTTAACAAGTGCAGCAAGAGAGGTCATAAAATGGAGCAAAGCTCTCTTAACAAACGTCTCCCCATACAACATAAATTTTGGGCTCAATTGTAGTTGTAAGTTGAGGACTACCTGTACCTGTTGTTGTTGCAATAGCAATCATGTAATGATTTCACTCAAACTTACTTCGGTACATGTTAATTACATTTGCTTTTCTTTTTCGGGCACAGTTTCATAGAAGAATCTATAAAGGAATTCCATTGCAGCTGAGAGGTGAAATCTGGTCCCTGTTACTCGACGTCCCAAAAATGAAAGAAGAAATGAGAGGTTATTATAATGTGAGTTTCCGAGCCAGAAAGCGAAACATAGAGCTTTTATTTTATACAATGCAGCAAATAGTACATGTAATCCATTTAAGAGGGGTAAAATAAATGCCATTCTTTCCAAATCTTTAATCTTTTTTTTCTTCTGGAAAAGTACTGAGTAATAGGTACCCTAAATTAAAATTATCCATTAGGCAAGAACCTGAGTGCAACTCCTACTTATTTTGTATGCCTGAAGATTTGTAGAGCTTTTCTGTTTCCTACTGAAGAGATCCCAGGTTTCACTATTGGTTATACCAGATGTTGATGCTATCCTCAGAACCACAGTAGTTTCTCAGGATCATTTTGCAAGATTTTCCCTTATCTGCCCTGGTTCATTGTGTTCATTGTGTTCATTGTGTGTATGCATGGGCATATTGTGCACCATACAGAGTCACATTGTTTGAGTTGGGCAGCCTCTAGTTAATAAAACAGATAAGTAAATGCTGTCGGTACATCAAGAAACAGTCTTGTGTCATGCTTATTCTGTTTTTTACATTCTCTGTTGGAATTTTGTATTTATGTTTAAATTGTTACTTTTCAATTTGGAAATCCAGAGGAGTTTTGAAACAAGCGGGTGGCGAACATAGTTCATCTGCTACTGTTTTGCTTGGGAAATTAATAACTACATTTAAACCTGCCAGATATTCAATGTACCTATTTCCTTTCACTCTCAGGAAAATCAGCAGGAAATTGTGCTGTAATTTAGGGCAGATACCTGCCCTGTAGACCAAAACTTACATAGGATGCTGCCAATAGAAGAGAATATTAGTAGCTCAGCGCTGAACTAAGGGGTTCTTGGTGCTGTCTAAGTGAGCTTGGTAGTTTCCTTTCAGCCCCACAGTTACATACGCTGTTTTTCCTAAACTGATGTGTCCTGGGACTGCAGCTTTCAAAATTTCTTAGAGCATGATCTGTACAATTCTGATAGTCCTTAAATATCTGGATGGCTTGACTGATAGGTATAATTTTCTGCAACTTGCAAAAACTCCAGAAGCAGCCGCTTCTCTTTCCTCACGCCACCTTTGACTTTCCACAGCATTGACTGATTTCTTGCCATGGTTCCTCCCAGTTGCAAATACGGAGGCTAGCAGAAGGATGTGAATATAATATCCTTTCCCATGTGAATTTCCCTGTCGTTGCAATTCAGAGGGATATTCACTATGGTTGGCTGCTTGTACAGGTGGTCCTCAACTTATGACCACAATTGAGCCCAGAATGTATGTTGCTAAGTGAGACATTTGTTAAGTGCGTTTTGTCCCATTTTACGACCTTTCTTGCCACAGTTGTTAAGTGAATCACTGCAGTTGTAAAGTTACTAGCACGGTTGTTAAGTGAATCCGGCCTCCCCATGGATTTTGCTTGTGAGAAGGTTGCAGAAGGTAATCACATGACCCTGGGACACTGCTACCGTCATAACTATGAAGCAGTTGCCAAATGTCCTGGATAGGTTTGTGACCTTTGCGAGAAGTGCAGAGTCATGACAAAAGGATGATGAGCTATGATGAGCAGTGAAGTCTTGGTGTATATATGTTTGTTGATTGTTTCTCTCTTTCTCCCCCTAGACTTTAAAAACTCGAGCAAGAGGAATCTCTCCAGATATCCGGCAAATTGATCTTGATGTTAATCGGACCTATCGGGATCACATCATGTTCAGAGATAGATATGGAGTAAAGTGAGTGAAACTGAATTGACTCCCTTCATGTGGATCTTGTTGCTTTTTTATTGTCTAGAACAGAGGTCAAAAAACTTGGCAACTTTAACTTTTATAGATACATATGAAGAAAATTCAATATTCTTTCCGTATTGTTTTTAGGTTAAATATATTTGGAAATTAAGAGAGCCAGTTACAGATTCAGTAGGATTACAGCTCTCCACATTCACCACCAGAGTTGTGAATTGTAGATCCGAAGCCCCAGAAGGGCACCAGGTTGCAAATGGCTTGTGAAGTGTTACAGGTCAACTTGTGTTCACTGTGAAGTATTGCCCAAGCTCCCTTTTGCAAAACTGAATAAACAAAATTATTGTTTCATTAGTTGTGACAGTGTTCTAAGTAGACTTTGGGTTGTGATTATTTTAGACAGTTGTACCCCCTCTCTGAGAGACGAGCAGATTAAATTGAAGATTTTTTTAAAAATCATTTTTTAACCTCAGGAGAATTACCAGAACAGTTAGTGAAATAGCATCATGGAAAAATGAAATGTCAGTAATTCCACTAAGAGCATTATCCAAACTCTTAGATATATCTAAATTGCCCGTTCTTATTTTTGAACATGATTTTTTTCCCTTCACTTTGGGACGATTCAGATGAAATACTGTGCCGTAGGTTAGCATTGCAACCTCTTATGACTAAAGCTGTGTGCAGGCAAAGCTCTTTTTAAAAATAAATAAATTGCATGTCCCCAATTGGTTTGTTTACACAATTTCTGTTTGAATGTCTCAATACAATAAACAAGACAAGAACAACAGTGATCAAACCAACAGATTGATAATCGGCAACAAGAGATGTAATAACTTGAGAAAATGTTCACAATAAAACTTGTCAGATAGCTCTCATGATTTGGAGAGAACAATAACATTTATTCCTCAAAAGGCAGCATTTGAGCTGCTCCTGATGATTAACAGGAAAGGAGCCGCTCTATCTTCCAAGGACAGAGTGTTCCAGAAGGATGGGACCAAGGGTTGTTTCCATGTCCCTCGGTTATAGGTAGTCCTCAACTTACGACTGGCAGTTACAGTTGATCGCTAAAATGGGACTTATGATTTGAATTTGAAGTGCTAACATCTGCACACAACCGCACAGCCACATGAGCACAGTTTAAGTGCTCGGCCCCTTGGCCGCATTTACAACAGTTTGCAGTCTTGTAATGATTATATGATCACGACTTAGGTTTTAGCCGGAAACTGGAGTTTGCATCCAGTTTCTGTCAAAACCCTGTCCCATCATGAACAATGGGTTCGCTTAACAACCGTGGCATTTGCTGCTGCTGCAAAAAAGGTGGTAAAATCAGGCCTAGTCTCATTGTGACTGGCTTTACAACCATCATGACTTATAACCAGAATTGTGAGGCTCATTTGCATTCATAACTCAAAGACTACCTGTGCTGTTTCCTCTTTGGTGGATGCCTCTCTTGGACTGCAGAGAGTTTAGAAGATGGCATGTTTTCTCTGGCAAGTGTCCATACATTTTGTCAGGATGGTGATGATGTCAAAATTTCAACTTAGATGTTGTTACATAGCCAGAGTGACTATATCTATGCACAAGAGAAGGAGGAATTCTATGGTAAGGATAAGGAAACCAAGTTAGTAAATGGGAAAGAAAGAAAGTCAAAACAAATTTGGTCTCGTAGTTTAGTCACCAGGCTAGAAAGTCGGAGACCATCAGTTCAAGTCCTGCCTTAGGCATGAGAACCAGCTGAGTGACTTTGAGCCAATCACCAGGAGATGGTGAGTTCTGGTCCTGCCTTAGGCAACAAAGCCAGCTGGGTGACTTTGGGCCAGTCGCACACTCTCAGTCCAGTTCACCTGACAGGATTATTGTGGGAAAAATAGGAAGAGAAAGGTGTGTTGAATATATTTGCTGCCTTAAGTTATTTCTAGAAATAAATAAAGTGAGAAAAAAATTAAGTGAGGATTCAGCATTCTCCCTGGACCCAAAAAGCAGATTGGGGCTAAAATGTGGATGAGAGTGAATGGAAGGACAAGCTAGAAACATGTACCCCAGGTGGAAGTTTTTAAAAAGATGTTGGATAACCATTTGCCTGAAGTGGTTTAGGGTTTCCTGCCTAGGTGGGTGGTTGGACTAGAAGACCTCCAAGGTCCCTTCCAACTCTGTTATTCTACTCCTACTTCTACTCTACTCTGCTCTGCTCTATTGATTTAATTTTTAAAAAAATGGACAGTGAAGAATACCGGAAGTTTCACTAATAAACTGGAGTTTGTTGAACTTTGCAGGTATCCAGGTTTTATCGTATTTTTACAAATGCCATATTACATTTTCTAACATGAATGTTGTTCTACAACAGTCCCTTTCCTCCAGTGCTCGGTTTCTTTGGTTATAACAGAGCTCTTTTCCAGATAGGCAGCACCCTGCATGATCTTTTTTTTTCCTTCCAAAGAGAACTTTTGTAAATATTTTATCATATAATGGAACACTAATGTTCTTGCTTTTATCACTCGCACACATACATAATAGATAGATAGCCGATCTCTGTAAATAGTAGGCTGTTTCCAGGGTGCAGGGTCATATAGTTATAACCACTGTACAGGGTTATACAGATGTACAAAATAGGATTGATATGAAATTGAGCCAGCAACATTTTAGATCACAAGTAATTTTTCCTCTAAAGTGGCTCCAAAACACATTTTGATTTTGTATAGTTACATTCTGTCTTTTTTCCCCCCTAGGCAACAATCTTTGTTCCATGTCTTAGCTGCATATTCTGTTTATAATACGGTAAGATGCTCTGCGTATGCTTCTCTGCATCTGTACGCAGTCAGTTACATAGGTCACTCTTAAACGATGTTGAATTCATGGAAATAGAATTCTCAAGGGCAACATGAAAACAGCGAGTTTGAATAGGCATAATTCTGTATTGGATTGTTTGGCCCATCAGGTGTAAAAGCAAATATTTCTGATTCTTGGCCAGGTGCTATTAAAGCTTGTTTTGCAAATGCTAGCCTGGAACCATTCAAGATCAGAAACCGTAAAAACAGTGGTGGATAAATTCACTCACCCAATAAAATGCTACATGTTATGCTTAATAAGTTTTAGCAGCATTATCGATTTGAGTCACATATAGTTGTGAAATTCTGGAGCAGAAAGTTACAAGTGTTCCTGAAAAGACAATAGTGGTCTCCTTCTTACCTCTAATGTGAAGGGTTGAAGAGGGATAAGCATTTTAACCTATCGAGCAGAACAAGTGAATTGCTCAGTAGCAATCCTAGGATAAGCCAAACTGTCTTAGTGGACTAAAATCCACAACTTGCTCACTTTATGTATAATTCTGTGGCTTCTTACTCAGAAGTGTCAGATTGAGTTCCATGAAACTCACAACAAAATTCTTTAAAGTAGCATAAACCCTAAAAGATAGCACCGTCTCAGAATAGGCTGGACATTTTAGGCTAGGTCCAAATTCTTTGTTCAAATGAATCAGTTTTGCATTGACTTCTTTCTGAAGTACAAATTCTCTGTCTTGAAGACAGTTTTCTACTAACTAGTATTTCATCATGAGGGTTCATCTAGTCATCTAAATGGGAGAAGAGCTAAAGATTACATGGAATAAGCTAAAGATACGGAATAACAACATGTCAAAGTTCAGAACATGGAAAGAAAGGACTCCTTTGTCCTCTTCTAACTTTATAGTCAGCATTTCCTCAGGGCAGTGTTTCTCAACCTTGTCTCCTTTAAGATACATGGACTTCAACTTCCAGAATTCCACATCCAGCATGCTCTTAAGTAGCCAGTGTTAAGAAACACTGCCTTAGGGGCCCCTCCACTTCTTCAGGATAAAAAATTAGACAACAACAACAGTGTAGTAGGATTGACTTGTGGGACCGTCGCGATGTGCAATATGTTCACATTGGTGCAATAGGATTGTGTGCTTGTTAGTAGGATTCACTGGGTTAGGGCTTTTCTGTCTTTTACTGTGAGTTATATTGTGTAGAGGGGGTGCAAGAAGGGAAGCTCAGCCAATCTCATTGTACACATGTTGTACTCTGACAATAAAAGTGTGAATCAAATTGAATCATGATAGCTTGTCCTGTATAAGCTTTGGTTATACCAGTCTCGTTTTCCTTTTCAGTTCTCTGTGCAAGTCAGATAGAGAACTAATCCTCCCCTTCCTCCAGACATCTCATAATTCACACTCTATCTACCCTTGCTACAAAAAAGTGAATGCAACTGCTTTAGGGTTGTTTGCAGGTGTAAACAAATTTTGTAACAGTTTTGTCTACTTTTTCCCAGGAGGTTGGATATTGTCAAGGGATGAGCCACATAACTGCATTGCTCCTAATGTACATGAATGAAGAAGATGCTTTCTGGGCTTTGGTGAAACTACTGTCGGGGCCCAAGCATGCTATGCATGGTAGGTGTCTGAAGTTTCATTCAATGTCATGATAGGTAAACTGGCCCCTTCACCCTAAACCTTTTTAGCAAACTTTTTTTTTTAAGCATTGTATTTAGAATTTTGCTCTTCAATTCTGTCTGTAACATTACGTTTGGGTTCACACCACTTTCCTAAATCAAATTGACAAGTCAAAAATATTATGGGTATCACATAGAGCTGAAACAAATGGTATCACAGCTAGTTCTTGATTTACAACTGTTCAAAGTTACAATGGATCTCCCCCAAATACTTACAAAATTGTGACACACACACACACACCCCTCTGGATTGTTTGACCACATTTCAAGTACTCAGCAACCAGCCCACTAATGGCTTTTCACATTGTCTTATAGTCACAAGTCCGATTTATGATGTTTTTGCTGAAAACAGATCTTTACTTCTGGTTTCCAGCAAAACATACCCTCTAGTGAACAATGAGTTTGCTGAATGATCTTATCATTCGCTTAACAAGAGGCACAGAAAAGGTGGTAAAATTGGATCTGGTTAGATGATGATCTGCTTTACCATTGTTGTGATTTACAACCATAATGGGCCATCTCTGTTATGGTTACAATTTGAGGAAGTATCCGTATGGCTTCATGCAGTGGTGGTCTGGTTTGCATAACACGCTTCCAAAAGATACTGAACAGCCAGCTGCATTAAGCCTATTGATCGCATACCGTCAAATTGAGGTCAGCTCTTAGTGATTACATAACTAGACCTTATTCACCTAGGTCTGTCCCCATCTTTAAGTCCTCCAGCAAAGCACCTTTCACCACTATAATTGAGACAATTCACCTTGCCTGCTGGTCATTCTTTTCTGTTTCCTCCCACTTGCCCTTCCTTTTTCATCTTTCCCATTCTTATAGCTCAGATTTGGATGCTTCATTAGCCTAGGTATAGATTAATAATCCTATTTAAGTGGTATATTTTTATTTAACATTACTTATTAAGTTACTTCAGGATGCAGCGTCGCCTTGTGATGAGATAAATAAATAAATCGATAGATAGATGATAGAGATAAATAGTTGCTTATTCATGATGACCTCTCTCTTCCCTCCCCTACTTTCCCCAATTTTAGGGTTTTTTATTCCTGGTTTTCCTAAGCTGTTGAGGTTTCAAGAGCATCATGACAAAATAATGAAGAAATTTTTGTCCAAGCTTAAGCAACATTTTGTAAGTAAATGCCAATGTGAATATGTTGATCCAAGGGAACCATTCACAGATGAAATTTCTTTGGCATTAATTTTCAATTTGACTTTTGCTTCCATAGAGTGTCACAGGAAACACCGCAGCTCGCACGATTCTAATCTTTATAGACATAGACACATCATGGGATCTGAATAACTTTTCAAAGTCTTTCATGGCTACTCTACCAAGTGCTACCCTGTGGCATATTTCTTGACTGCATGTTCCTTTACTGTGGATGGTTGATCCTAAAATAGCAGAAGCAATCTACCACTCTGAAATCTTCATTAGCTATTCTAAGGCTGGTTGTTTTACTTGTAGTCATTGCGGTAGTTTGGTCTTTTAAATTAAAGTTCCATTTTTTTTTTCCACTGTGCTTCTTGACTTTTATTACTGGAGCTTGCAGAGCGATTGAATTTTCAGCTTTTGGAATAGTGTCATCAGCATAATGCAAGTTATTGATCTTCCTCTCCCAATTTTAAAACCATATTCATCTTCCCTCAGGGTACATTCAGCACATAGATTGAATAAATAAGGGGAGAGTATTCAATCTTGTCACATTCCTTTGCAAGCATAGAACAGTCTTTCTGGGGTGTGTTGTTTTCTGTTCTGTGGCTTTCTGACATATCTTTATTCCTGACCTGTCTTTATGCCTTGGAATATTGCATACAGTTTTGGTCACCACGATATAAAAAAGATATTGAGACTTTAGAAAGAGTGCAGACAAGAGCAACAAAGATGATTAGGGGGCTGGAGGCCTAAAACATACGAAGAATGGTTGCAGAAATTGGATATGCCTAGTCCAGGGGTAGGGAAACTTGGCTTCCAGAATTCCTGAGTGAGCCATAAAAGGTTCCCCATCCCTGGCCTGCCGGTTTTTCAGTTGTGGGGGAAATCAATTTTTGACTTGAATGGGACTGTTTAATATACACATATAGGAATATTAAATTTGTATATTAAACAGTCCCATTCAAGTCAAAAACTGATTTCCCCCACAACTGAAAAACCAGTAGGCCAGGGATGGGGAACCTTTTATGGCTCACTCAGGAATTCTGGGAGTTGGAGTCCATAAGTGATAAAAGAGCCAAGTTTCCCTACCCCTGGTCTAGTCTAATGAAAAGAAGGACTAGAGGTTACCTGATAGCAGTCTTCCAATATTTGAGGGGCTGCCCCAAAGAAGAGGGGGTCAACCTATTCTCCAAAGCACCCGAAGGCAGGACAAGAACCAATGGGTGGAACCTAATCAAAGAGAGAAGCAACTAGAACGAAAGAGAAATTTCCTGACAGAACAATCAACAGGTTGCCTCCAGACATTGTGGGTGCTCCATCACTGGAAGCTTTGAAGAAGAGATTGGGCAACCATTTGTCTGAAATGGTATAGGATTCCCTGCCTTGAGCAGGGGGTTGGACTAGAAGACCTCCAAGGTCCCTTCCAACTCTGTTATTCTGTTATTCTTTAGGTTTCTTGTGAGGGCAATGAAATGTTCTGGGGTTCCCCTTTTTCTAAGCACTTTTAACAGCTTGAGATATCTGATGCAATTGAATGCTTTTACAAAATCAGTGGAGACCATCGTGACTTCTTTGGGGCATTCTTGGCTTTTTTCAGAGTCTTTAATAACTAGGAACGTCGCTTTTGTATTAAGCAAGTCTTTATTTTTCAAATTTTCATTAAGTTTTATCAGGATGTAAAATACAAAAAATCAAAATAGTGGGAAAACGGGAAGGCAAAAACGGAAGGATTTAAAAGAGTGTAGGGTAAAGTGGGGGCGGGGAGAAATAAAAGCATTGACTCCCTACTCTTTTTAGTACAGTAGAATAAGATAGTAACATTGCAGCCTCTCAACGTTTTACTTTTATATACTAATATGTGCTATAACAACAAATGTATCTAATCAGCAAAACCCGAAGTCAAAGTTTCCTTTTTTGCCATCTCAAGCACAAAATCCAGAAGCAGTTTCCAAGAAGGAACAAAGCTGGAAGTGTTCTTTTCTGTGATTAAAGCAGCCAATTTGGCCATCTCTGCTAGTCCCATCAGTTTTTCCAGCCAATCTCCCATTGTGGGAATTGAAGTATTTTTCCATTTTTGTGCATTCTTGCTCCTGTCAACATATATAACAACAAAGTTCCAGAAAGTTCTTTGTCCATTAAGCCTAAACAAGATATTTGCTTTTATTTTTATATTTAAGAATCTTCTGTATTAAAATACAAATCTTACCCCAGTACTGTATATATATATATATTTGCTTTGTCGCAGATCCATCAGAGATGTTTCTTCGTTACATTTAAAACACACATTTGAAATACCTTGACACTTTTTTGACAGTTTAGCCAGTGTTAAGGACCAACAGTACATCATTTTGTAAAAATTTAAAAATCAAGGCTTTTTAAAGAGTAACAGGTCTTTGAAGGTAACAGAGTGTGAATTCTAATCCTGACTTAGGCAGATGTCAGTTTTGAGCCAATTACACTGTCTCAGCCTCAGGTAAAAAATATTGGCAAAATACTTCAGTAAATATTGCACCCTATATAGCAGTGGCTGGTCCCTGTAGTCAAAATTGACTCAATATACTGATAATAAGAAGGAAGAGTAACACCCCCCCCCCAAAAAAAAAAATAACTTCAAGCTGATCCATAATGAGGGTTTAGAAATGATATAAAATATGTGCTTTGTCTTAAAGGAGGGGGAGAAGGAGAGAGAGAGGAGAGAGAGAGAGAGAGGAGAGGAGAGGTAGGTAAGTAGGTAGGAGGGAGAGAGAGAGGGAGGAAGGGAGAGGGAGAGAGATGCGATGGATGGATGGAGATGAATATAGATATAGATGGATGGATGGATGGATGATTGATAGATACATGATAGATAGATAGACAGAAGATGGATGGATGGATAGATGGGTAGATAGTTGAGTAGGTAGATGGGTAGATAGATGGGTAGATGGATGGATAGATGGATGATAGACAAACACACTAAGCCAGTGGTCTCCAACCTTTGGGGAACCAGGGACCAGTTCCATGGAAAACAATTTTTCCACAGATAGCGGGGGGGATGGTTTCACACGCTATTTAGATCACACCCATGTGTAGATGAAGCTTGGCTTGCTTGTGTGACCCAGGGGTTGGGAGCCCCTGCTCTAAGCACCTTGAAGAAAACGTCTAGAAGCTGAACAATGGTTTCCCAACACTTCTGTCACTAAGGTTACCATAAAGTGATGATTTGCCAGTTAAGCACCTTGGGAGCTTGGTATCGAATGCTGCCAAGAAAAAAACTTCCAAGAAGCCTGCTAGTATAGATAGTCCTCGACTTACAGCCACAATTGAGCCCAACATTTCTGTTGTTGAAGGAGACATTTTACTAAGCGAGTTTTGCCCCATTTTATGACTTTTCCTGCCACAGTTGTTAAGTGAATCGCTGCAGCTGTCATGTTAATAACAAGATGGCTAAATGAATCTGGCTTCCTCATTAATTTTGCTTGTCGTCAGAAGGTCGGAAAAAATGATCACATGATCCCCAGGACACAAGCAACTGTCATAAATATGAACCTGTTGCCAAACATCTGAATTTTGCTCAAGTGACCAAGTGCAACGGTCATAAGGTGAAAAATGGTCACGAGTCACCTTTTTTCAGTGTCGTCGTAAGTTTGAATGGTCACTAAACGGCCTGTTGTAAGTCGAGGACTACCTGTTAGTTATCCAACAAGACAGCACAAGGGGGTCCCTGAGAGGGAGAAATGCACTTTTGAACACACCGTGCATTTAACTCCGCATCTGCATTCTGCTCTGTGCCAATTTTATCTTCTAAAATGGGTGAACTGTGTCTTCTTGGCAGGATTCCCAGGAGGTCAACACCAGCTTTTACACAATGAAGTGGTTTTTCCAGTGTTTCCTTGACCGTGTGAGTAGCCCTAGCTGTTGCTTTCATTATCAGCCCAGCTGGCCCTCTGGGCCGGAGGGGAATTATATTGTTTTATCTGCTGATTCACCCACATTGTTCTTTCATTGCAGACTCCCTTTAGGTTAACCCTCAGGATCTGGGATATCTACGTACTTGAAGGAGAGCGAGTTCTTACTGCAATGGCCTACACCATTCTGAAATTGCACAGAAGTAAGAGCTTTTGCCTTGCCTTTAAATGCTCTCTGGCCACCTTGACATGGTCAGTCCTTGTTTTGAGTGACCAGACTTGGGGGAATTCTTATTTCTCGCTGGCTAAAAAGTGATAGAAGAAAATGTTTGTCGTTCAGGCTTGAACAATGAACTTCCTTGTGTTCTCTGAGCTTGGTTGCTTTTTTTTTTGTGCAGACGTTTCATTACCAAACTAGGTAACATCATCAGTGCACACAGCTTGGCAATGAAACATCTGCAAGGAAACAGCCAAGCTGAGAGAAGGACTTCACCAAGGACTTCAGAGTGGCTGAAAACTCCCAATGTAAAGTACTGTAGATATTCAGAAACCACAACTGAGCCCAAAATTTCTGTTGCAAAGCCAGGCAGTTGTTAAGTCAGTTTTGCCCCATTTTACAACTTTTCTTGTCACTGTTGTTAAGTGAATCACTGCAGTTGATAAGTTAGATGTTTGTTACTAATGTTTGGCCTTCCTGGTTGACTTTGCTCTTCAGAAGGTAGCAAAAGGCGATTCACGTTGATCCAGGGATATTGCAACCGTCATAAGTACATGCCAGTTGCCAAGCATCCAATTTTTTTTGTGACATTATGGGGGTGCTGCAAGGGTCGTAAGTGTGAAAAACATTCATAAGTGCCGTTGTAACTTTGGCCACTAAAAAAATGGTTGTAAGTTGAGGACTACCTGTAGTTTTTTTTCCCCCCCCGTGCCATCTTAGAACACCTGATGAAATTGCAGATGGAAGAACTGGTCCAGTTTCTTCAGGAGGCTCTTTCCAAAGATTTCTTCTTTGATGATGATTTTGTAATAGAACAGCTCCAGAGCTCCATGGCAGAACTGAAACGAGCAAAGATGGACGTCCCTGTAGCAGGTAAATAATTCTTCTAGATATCAGTAACTCATGGTGATATGTTTATTTGCATACCTTTATGAAATTTCTTCACCTGTTGGCAAGGATTGTAGAATTGCACTACCAGGAAGGGAAGTCTGGAAGAACTTCAATATATCTCCTTAGAAGCCATGATCATTTCCCAAAATGACACATCCAGGTAACTGTTACTTGTGCACTAAGGTACTTCAGTAGATTTTGCTACCTTGCTTCAAGGTATGTTCCATCTTCTCAGGATAACATTTCCGCAAATTTTGAAGCTGTAGGAAAGACTTCATTATTATTATTTTGCTGCCTGCCTCCCCGCTTTAAAAGTTAAGTAGAATTTGGGAGAAAATGGAGGCATATTTTATTGTTTAAAATCCTGTACAATTTGCAGCTTTATTGTAAATGAAATGCGAACAAACGCTTCATTTCTTCATAAATGTGTCTTTGGTGTATGCAGTTGAATAATGGCTTTTATTCACAGGATAATGACAAATGGCAGTGGTTTAATTTACACTAAATGTTTAGGGTTTTTCTTTTTAGCAAATGGGTCTGTCAAACTCTAAGGACTATAACATCTTTTCATTTTGGTCTTGTTTAGTTAAAACCAGCACACATAAATTTATCTTTGAAAACAAGAGACCACCAAGTTGATAGTAAGGAGGAAAATGTATATTCTGGACACCTCTGGCTATACTTTAAATATAACATGTATCTAGGTTCAGAAAAACAGAACAGAAAATAATGCGGAACACCCATTTTGATACATTAATCGAGCATCTAATCAATCATGTTCTGCATCCTAGCAGTGGATTCCTCTGCAACTGAGCCCTTATTTTTGTCCTTTCTTCATTTTCATGGCTTTCTGGAAGCAAAATGCCCCCCCTCGCCCTGTCACTTTGACATCAGATATTCATTTATTTCTTAATTTTGGAGGGAATGCTGTCAGCTCTAAATAAGGTGCACTCTAGCAATTTTACAGCTTATTTCATTTTTCTCAGGAAAAATTCAGAAACAAACTGTCAAAAATGGGAGGGAAACATGAAAAATAAAAATAAAAAGCAGTAACCCCCTGATTCCTCCCCCCTCCCCCCGACATGTCTACTCGCCAACCCATGAATAGAGATAAAGGGTCTGGATATGCCTAATCACTTGCTTCGTAGGAGGCATCTGTTTCCCTGCAAACAGCCTACCTTTTGGCATGGACTTTGGCAGATTCTTGAAGGCAGCTTTACATCCTTTTAATTAGAAGGGAGGTCGTGTTAACATCGAGGCAACAGGCTGGGGAAAGGCGTTTTCCCCCTCCCCGCATGATGGGGAAATAGCTGAGACCCTCTCTGCCAGCCGTAGCAGTCTTTGCAGAAACAGCAGAACGAGTCTCCAGTTCCCTTGTTGTTTATTCAACCGATCCTGCCATCCTAAGGAGGTTTTTGTGTGGTTAAATGAAGGAAGTGGGAGGAGGCATTGAATGTTCTGCTTCAGTTCTTCACCAAGAGAGAAGCCTTCAAGAGGCCTCTCAGCATACGGGGCCAAAGGCAAGCAAGTTTTTTTAAAAAAATAAATAAATGCCAGGTGCAAATATTTCTTTTGCAAGTCAGGGAAGACATTTGTGCCGTGAGCGATGCGCCACGCAGGTTTATATCGAGAGGTCCTTGGTGCTCTCTGAGCTTGGTGGTTTTCTTGCAGGCATTTCAGTGCTGATGAAGTTACCTCGTTTGGGTGGTGAAATGTCTGTAAGAAAACCACCAAGCTCAGAGAGCACCAAGGACCCCTCTTTTCAATCCTGAGCTGCAAATATTCTCCTTTAGGGGCTTATATGTCAATTTTAGGTTGTTTTCCACCCCTGCGTCAGCCCATCCCTGTGTAGTATGAAAAAAATTGCACCTTTTTTCAGTGCCAGCTTGTTGAAAACCTGAAGACCTCTAGTTTTACTATCTCAAAGGTGCTTCCCCACCCTCACCCGGCTCCCAAAAAGGCAACTGGACTGTTGTTTGAGGAAGAGAAAGAAGACGTTTCTCTTCTTCTCATCCAAAAAGCTTCATCGGTTGTGCCTGGGTGGTGCTGGGATGGAAGGATTGTATTTCTTTGCAGTCATCTGGTCATTAGCACTCTCTTTGAGAGCCCTTGAGGCCCCTTGGGGTTTTATCTGTGCTGTCAGGACCATCGGAATCAGGGTGCAAATGGCTGTGGAATCTTCCTGGAACTGCTGAAAGGGCCGTGCTGTAGACAGGAGAGGGGTGGTGTCATATTCTTGCCCCTCTGTCTAATGACCAGATGACTACAAAGAAATACAATCCTTCCATTCCCCCTTCACCATCCTGTAAGAACCTATCCTTCCCTCCCCCTACCATCCAATGACAACTGATGCTTCTTGGATGAGAAGTGAAACAACTTCTTCTTCTTCTTCTTCTTCTTCTTCTTCTTCTTCTTCTTCTTCTTCTTCTTCTTCTTCTTCTTCTTCTTCTTCCTCTTCCTCTTCCTCTTCCTCTTCCTCTTCCTCTTCCTCTTCCTCTTCCTCCTCCTCTTCTTCCTCCTCCTTCTTATCTTCTCCTTTCTCCTCCTCCTCCTCCTCTTCCTCTTCCTCTTCCTCTTCCTCTTCTTCTTCTTCTCCCTCTCCTCCTCTTCCTTCTCCTCCTTCTCCCCCTCCTTCACCACCACCACCACCACTGTTCACCACCACCTCCTCCTCCTCTTCTTCTTCTTCTTCTTCTTCTTCTTCTTCTTCTTCTTCTTCTTCTTCTTCTTCTTCTTCTTCTTCTTCTTCTTCTTCTTCCTCTTCCTCTTCCTCTTCCTCTTCCTCTTCCTCTTCCTCTTCCTCTTCCTCTTCCTCCTCCTCTTCCTCCTCCTCCTTCTTATCTTCTCCTTTCTCCTCCTCCTCCTCCTCTTCTTCTTCTTCTTCTTCTCTCTCTCCTCCTCTTCCTTCTCCTCCTCCTCCTCCTCCTCCTCCTCCACCACCACCACCACCACTGTTCACCACCACCTCCTCCTCCTCCTCCTCCTCCTCC